ATATAACATCTTTTGGGGATCTGAGGGTGCCTCCCTCACCCATGTGACTCAAGAGCTGCCCCCATGATCTTGAGTCTCACATCTTTTTTTTTTTTTTTGGAGAGGTTTTTCTTTTGCTATAGGGTGCATGCATTGGCCAGAAAGACAGAGAGAGACAGAGAGAGAAAGAGACAGAAAGCGAGAAGTAACACCCCCCCCCCCGGGGGGGGGGCGACGCCCCAACCCCTCTTCTCAGGATCTTGGGCACGCATGCACATGTGCCCAAAGTGAGTTTAAGCCAATGGGTCCAGGACTCGAACCATAGTAGACTACATGGGAATCCAGCGACATAGCCATTTATGCCATCTGCTGGTCCCCTCACTTACATCTTAACTCCACATTCTTCTCCACTGGGTGAATGAATCACATTCATGACCACATCCATGCCTTGGCCCACAAAATGACTCCTTCCTGGAACGCCCTCTCCTCTCTCCTCCATAGAAAGTCTACCTGCCCTGCCAGCTCCAATTTTAGTTTTCATCCTGGAGGATGCCCGCTCTAGGCCTCCTTCAGCTTCCCCTGAGCACGCCCTTCCTGTCGTGGGCACCAATGATAAGACGATAGCTCTTTCACTGCATGCCTGTGCCATGGACTCTGCATGTTAGTTTTAGCAGTACACAGTACTAGTACCCTAGTAAGGGCATGCTATGCAGTACTCATTGGGCGGGGTCTCCAAAAGGTTCATGAAAAATGTGTATTATAAAAAAAAAAAACAAAAAAAAAAACTGGGCCAGCTCTGTGGCTTGTTGGTAAAAGCAGTCAGAGCTCATGTGGCCAACTACCTGGTCTGAGTCCTGAACCAAGTGGCTTGAGAAACATGCTGGGTGCATGTGTATATGTACCCAAAATCCCAAAAGGAGGGAGAGATGGAGGAGATGAGAATATGGCACGACCATTCCTCATGAGGGGTGCTTTCTCCTCTCCCTCTCTGTCTCTCTCGGGCAAAGCACACGCCCTCTATCTAACGCTCCCCTACCCCTCCCACTACAAAGAAAATAAAGAAAGAAAAAAAGAACTATGCATGAACCTTAACAATTTTTCTATACCAAAGTAAACTTGCACTTAACTTCATTTTCCACAAACGTTTTGAAGTCCCCTCATCTAGGTGTTATTAGGTACTATAAAAGTCATGACTCAATTTTGCATAGAAAAAAATACGCCATGACTTTCCTGACTACACAATATTATTAGTCCACGGTACTGATGAAAAGATTTGAGTGTCAGAGATGTTAAAGAGCCAGCAGAAGATCACTTCGCTTTCTACCCTCCGACACCTGCCCTGCCTCCCTCTTAATCAGTATCTTGTACCTCCTTACCTCTTATTCTTCGTGTGCTAGTCACACTTTCTTTTTAAATTTTCTTTTCTCAAAAAAAAAAAAAAAAAAAACAAACAAGACAAACCAAAACAAACCACAAAAGTCAATGTCAGACACACCTCAAGACTTTTGCACTGACTTTTATTTGGACTGTCTCCCCAAACTTTTGCACAACTGGTTCTGGCTTGTCATTACATGTCACCTCCTACAAGCAGTCCCGGCCCACCCTAAAATTGTCCCTATATCTCCTGCTTTTCTAGAGCATGACCCGTAATTGTATGTTCTTTAGCACAATGATAATTTCTGGTATTTTCGCATTTGTCCCTCTGTTCACTTGTTAGGTTAGATGGTACACCTGCAACCAAATATAAACTTCATGAGGGCAGGGATCTTGTTTGTGTGGCTCATAGCTGAATCTCTAGGACCTAGGACAGTACCTGGCATTTAATGGGCACTCGAGATACCCCCCCTGCCCCCTTTTTATTTGTTTCTGCTACAGGGCAAGTGTGCTTATTGGAGAGAAGGAGAGAGACAGAGAGACAGAGAGAGAAGGAAAGTGAGAGAGAGTACACCCTTGCCCCTGCCACACTGCAATCTTTTCTCTTACATTCTCTTCTTTGGATTCTGGGCATGAACACATGCCAGGTGTGCTTCTCAAGCCATGGGGTCTATGACTCAAACCATATAGTGAGCCTTAACTGCCATGCCAGCACACAGCCAAAGAAACATTTCTTGAATGAAAAAATAACTTGCTCCAATATTCGGGCTCTTGGCCTCCACTCAGTGTGACCTCTCTCTAAATAATAGTGTTTAAAGCGATGATAGCTTATATCATATAACTTAGCCACTGAGTATTTATGGCTTTCTGTCTTACACCGTTTGCTATTAGAAATGAGCCTTGACTTATGATGGGAGGCTTTCTGTCTTACACCGTTTGCTATTAGAAGTGCTCCTTGACTTATGATGGGATTATGTCCCGATAAACCCATTGTAAGTTGAAAATATCACAAATTAAAAATGCATTTAATCCACCTAAGCTTCTGAACAGCATCTTAGCCTAACCTACCTCAAACATGCTCAGAACACCTACAATTAGTCTACGGTTGGGAAAACTTATCTCACACAAATCCTGTTTTTACAGTAAAGTGTTGAATATCTCATAGAATTTGTTCAGTAGGTATTGAAAGTGAAAAACAGTGGCTGTATGGGGACGCAAAGTATGGTTTCAACTGAACGTGTAGCACTTCTGTACGAACACAAAGTTGAAAAACCATAAGATGAACTGTCGCTAAGTCAGGACTGTCTATATTTTATTCACATTCATATTCCATCTACCTGTGTGTGCCTGTTAAGTCACTGATGCACACCTACTGGTTCTGGCTTTCCAGAGGGAGCCTGCGATCAATGGGCACCTGCACTTCCTACTTCGGCCAGCAGGGGACAGATCATACAGAGTCTCAAATATTGAACAAACATATTTTGTGATGCAGAGTGAGTGGGTGATGGCTACTGTACTTTTCTTCCCCCCCACCTGTTTTGTTTAACATTATTCTGGAGACAATCTAAGTCCAGAAGCAAAGTTTTCAGGTTTTCTTAAATCTCCAAATAATTCAGTGGTCTGTCTTGCCCAGCCCAAGTCCTGAGCCTGTTGGCATTTTCCTGCAGCTTCCAGGCTCCTAACCCACCCAGGCTGGAAATAACCAGAGGCCACATGGTGTGAAAAACAAATTAACTCCTTCTTGAGATTATTTTCCACCTGCTTAAACTGAAGAACTGTAAAAACACTTCAACTGGGAGAGTTATGGAAAGAATGCTGGCTGGTTAGCCAACATATTTTGTGTCTGCAACAGATTTTCTTGAATTTTCATATTTAAGGGATTCTTTGGAAATCATCTCTAAGAGGGGAAGGATTCCTCTGAAATATATTAGGCTACACATAATGGAAGCAAACAGGCCTGCTTCACAGCAGACTCTCTCTTTCTCTCTCTCTCTCTCTCACACACCACACACACACACACACACACGCATACACACACATACTCAAACAGACACACACAGAGTTATACATACACACACTCAAAGACACACACAAACACACATGTTATACATACACACACTCAAAGACACACACACACACTCACACACACTCATAAAGAGAAAAGAGCCAGTGAGTGCAAACAAATTCTCTGACATAGCGTTTAGATTCTCAGAAATTTTTCTTCTATATCTATTTCATCTCAGAGAAGATTTAAATTGTTGACAAATGCAGGTAATATCCAACAACAGCATAAAGGTGGAATTTAAAAAATAAAGGAAGGTAGTAAAAAGTCAACATAAAACAAACCTAGCTGGTAGTTAAAAGTTCATTCCACAGTATTTTTTGGGATGGGTCACAAATTTACCTTTAATCTTTCTTCCCACTAACACCAAAAAATTAATTCAGTTTTAAGATATGACTGAATAACTACCTAGTATTTATATTACTGATACATAAGCTAAGTTAGCACAGACAACCTCATTCAAAGACATGTGAAGACAGACCACGATCAAGGACAGTCATTAATACAAATTTCTAAAACAGAACAATATTTAGAGTTCCTAAACTGATTATGATGACTTTTCTTCTCCTTTTTCAATAGTCCTAGGGGGAAAATCCCATATCCCATATTAAGAAACTTTTAACTAACAAGGACATTTTCTTTCTTTCTTTTTTTTTTTTCCTGAGAGTGATTTTTTGCTATAGGGCACATGCACCCACTGGAGAGACAGAGAGACAGAAAGAGAGAAATCATTCCCTAGGGGGCTGGCCATGCTACAATCCCTTCTCCTCCATTCTCCTCTCAGGATCCTAGGCACACATGCACACGTGTCCAGTGTGAGTTTTTAAGTCACTGGGTCCGGGACTTGAACTGCAGTCAATTACATGGGAGTCCAGAGACATAACCATTACACCATCTACTGGTCCCAACAAGGACATTTTCTAATTCATTTTTTGAAAATGCCAGAGGACATATGCACTCACCAGAGAGAGACAGAGAGAGAGAGAGAGAGGCAGAGGGAGAGGGAAAAAGCAACCCTTGGTGGGGTGTGACCACGCTGCAATCCTTGTCCTCTCCTTCTCCATCCTGTTGGGATTTTAAGTACACCCATGTATGAGCCCAGTATGTTTTTTATCTTTAAAAAAAAGGTCCAGAGGGCACGTGCACTCATTGGAGACAGAGAGGCAGAAAGAGAGAGCGAAGGTGAGAAAGCACTCCTCATGAGGAACAGCCATGCCACAATCCCTTCTCCTCCATTTTCCCCTTTTTTGGATTTCAGGCCCACAGGCACACATGTCTAGTGTATTTTTCAAGCAACCAGGTCCAGAACTCAAACTGTGCAGTCAGTCACGTGAGATCCAGCCTCCTTAACCATAGGGTTAGCCATGGGCTAACCCTAGCTGATGCGTTTTTCAGGATGCTGATGGTAGGATTTGAACTGTGGTCAGCAGTGTGGAATCTGGCTCCCTTAACCACGAGGCCATGGGGCTAGCCTCATATTCTAATTCTCAGAACACTTTTCTCCTTTTTGTTCATCATGAATGAGACCAAGTAGGCAGTCCAGGTGAAAGGCAAAAGGAAAAAAAAAAACTATTAAAACACTTACGTGTCATCTACAAACGTTATTCCAAAATACTCCTTTTCTTTCAAGTTGAAGTGTGAAGCCACGAGGTCCAGCAACTCTCTTGCTAACAGTTTGGGCTGTCAAAATAAAAGTCCGATTAGAAGTCATTTGGGTGCCTTGCTCTCTTACTGCCACCACCCTCTTCTGCCCTCAATAACTCAAAGCAGCTTTTGTTTGCTGGTTTGTTTTTAAATATCTGCCCTGATCGCTGATTAGGTTAATCTACTGGAGACCATTCTCTAAGCACCGTGGGAAGGACTAGGAACAGCAGTGATGTCATCATTTTTGTGTATTTGCAATTCACTCAAGTACCTTACCTTTTACTTCTATGGTAAGGGTACCCTGACAAACGTGTTGGTGTTTCAGTAAAAACGCTCTTAGGTGGCAGGGTGCTAGTGACCGAGACAAAGGATATCCAACACCTCCTTGCCTGGTTATCTGTGATGTGATGAAAGATTGAAGGAATGATTTTGTTTGGTGATGGCAGCATTAAAGGCTCAAGACCCAAGGCATGGAGCCATGGATAGATCTAGCAACAGTAACACCAATAATAGCTATGACTTATTGTGCTGCATTCATATTCATGGCTTCATTTAGTTTTTGCAATACGCCTGTGGAGTAGGGCATTTTATTTCCATTATATGGACAAGCCAACCAAGGGTAAGAGAGGTTACGCACTTTGCTTGATTTACATTGTTAGTGGGTGCAGGGATTAGAGCTTTGTACTTCTCATTCCAAAAGGTAAACTTTCATTTCTCTCTAAAGAATGGAGTAAATTATATCCATTCTTTCTTCCCCAGAAATGGGATTAAAGCAGTTAAAGTGTGTACTATATTAATTTTTCTTGTAGAATACATGCACTCTCACCAGAGAGAGAGACAGAGAGAAAGGGGGAAAAGCAAGAAAGCACCTCCCAGGTGGGCCATGGCAATCCCTTCTCTCCTCTCAGGATTTTGGGTAAGCGCACACATTGACCTGGCATATTTTTATAGCTGCCAGGTCTGGGACTAGAACCGCAGGTGGGCCATGTGTAATCCAGTTGCCCTAAGCACCACACCACTGGCTGGCCCCGATAAGTTGTACCCATTCTACCATCATTGTCAACAGTACTTACTGAGTACCTAGTTAGAAGAAGGACCTTATCTATGAGCTTTTGGGAAGCACTAGACATAGTAAGAAGCAGTCTGGTTGGAATCAGCCAAACATCCAGGGTGGTCATTGATGTTGTTTTGCAAAGGCTGGGGGAGGGAAGAAGGATTGCAGCATACACTCTCCAGGGATTCTTTTAGAACTGTGAGCCAAGCAGGCTACACTGTGATGGTTTGAAGGTTGAATGTTTGCCATGGGAAAAAAAAAAAAAAGTGAACATGATGCAAAGAAAAGGAGAATGCAGAAATCTAGTCAAAAAGGTCTAATCTGGTGAAACTACTGTTCACTGATCTATTTTGATCTAATTGAAGCCTAAGCATTGTGGCTAGGGACAGGCCTGAGAAGGAGAAGAAACCGAGGTTTGGTCCAAGGACAGAATTCTAGCCTTGTCAGAGGTGTGGCCTGTCTGCAAGGACTTTCACAATTTCTTAAGACTCTTGGTCTACACTGTTGGGTGAATAGAGAGACACATCAACAATTAAAATATCATCACTCATACAGTGCAACATATCTTACAAAGATATTTCACTAACATATATAATTTAGATAGATTTTAACCATAATTCTATAAGGAAGACTGGGTGGTCTTTTTTTAAAAAAAATTAAGGAAGTAATTTGCTTATTTGTTGTCATTTTCACACCACTGAGTCTAGGACTTGAACCACAGTTGGCCATGTGGGAATCCAGCCCCTTAACCACCATGCCACCTGCTGGCCCTGGACTAGGTAATCGTAATCCCAGCCAGTTCACAAAGCTGGGTATTTAATTTACACAATGCCCTGTAGTTGGAAAGTGGCAGAATACAACAGCCCTTTTCAGAGGGACAGGATCCCCAATTTGCCAACAAAAGGTTCAGAGAATTAAAGTCACTTGCCCAAGGTCACACAGCCACTGAGTGTCAAGCTGAGATTAGAACACAAATATCCCTGAATCCATGTCACTAGGCTATAATTACTTTCACATGCAGATCCAGTGGGACCTGTAAGCTGCAATCTGCCAGCAATCTCAGCCCACCAGGATCATGGACCACACGTGACCACCCAGCAGGCTCAGGCCCCAGGATGCAAACCCACGTGTGTCCGTTTGCATGAGTAACAGGACACAAGTTTCCCCACATGGAAGCTGCCTTTTGCCCCTCAGTCCTGAGTCACTGGCTTTGAGGCACCTGTAAGTGGGCAGCCTGACAGACCTGCTTAGTGAAGGACCCAAGATGGGCTTCCCTGCTGGGTGACACTTACCTGAACCAGCAGCTCCAGTCTCCTATCATCCAGGAGGTGCACCTGGCAGTGCCTGCCTTCTGTCATCTGCGGGGACAAGACAGTGAGAGAGGCGTCAGGGTCAGGGCTGGCAAGCAAACCCTTGAACTTGCTTTAGTCGTTATTTTATATGAAATGTGTTTAGCCTAAAATTGCTTCATTTGCGTTAACTCACAGGCTTGGACAGAAACTGATTCGTTACATGGCATTAACTTGGACTTAAAAGAAAAGAATGAAAATCAAAGGCTACTCAATATATTGAAAAAAAAGCCTATTCAGCATTCTAAGTTCAAATAATGTGCAGAATATCTTACTATGAAAAGTAGATCTCCTTCCTAGAGAAGGACGTCGCTAGCACCCACTACATTTTCCCTTGAGCCCATATTATATTTTTCAAATAAAAATGCTCTTAGTCACTGGTTGTTTTAATAAATATAATACGTACATAACTAAAGAAGAAAAACATGTGATACTAAAGTTAAAATGGAAAGTCTCCCTGTTTGAAATTTCGGTTCCCCTTTTCACTTAGTAAATCACCCCCTCCTTAAGGACAATAAGACACACAGTTAAGAACAACCTCATGTATACAATTCCAATTATACTTCGTATTTTATAACATAAAATTGCAATACTGGGAATAATCTTTGTGAAATATTCAAATGGTGAATAGACTGCAAAGATCTCCTTCGGTCACTCAGCTCAGGTTCCATCCAAACCAGTTTATTTGCAGAAATTGCCTCCCTTCCACTTTGAGCAGAATCCTCTCTCATTGCTTTTACATGGATTTTCAGAAATGTGCATGTATGTATTTAAAAATTTTTTTTGTATTAAATGTTTTACTTTAACATTATTATGTTGGATATTTTGTTCTGCAAATGAAGTACTCAATTTCTTTTTTACAATGATTATATTTAACTTTATTTATTTATTTATTTTATTTTGATCAGAGAGGGACAGTGGGGTGGGGGTGGGGAAAGTGTAAAAGCAAGCTGTCAGGTCCATGACTCAAGCTGCAGTCAGCCATGTGGGAGTCCAGCTCCCTTAACCACCATGCCACCTGCTAGGCCCCCCCCCCTTTTTTTTATTTGGATGGTTTTTACTATAGGGCACAAGTGATTGCCAGAGTAACAGAGAGACAAAAAGTGAGAAATCACCGTCCAGGAGAGATGGCCATGCTGCCACCCCTTGTCCTCCACTCTCCTCTTGGGATCTTGGGAATGCATGCACATATGCCTGTTGTGAGTTTTAAACTGCCAGGTCTGGGACTCAAAACAAGGTCAACTACGTGGGAGTCCAGTGACATAACCATTATGTGATCTGCTGCTCCCTAAGCACTCAATTTCTTAAGTTCCTGTAATCACCCAGAAACATAACACATATGTACATGTTTGAGTGTGTGTGTGTGTACACACGTACACAAGTATCTGTATTCTTCAAAAAGTTTGTGGGAAATGTGTATTAAGACAAAACTATGCACAGATTTAAAAGCGTTATACACCAAAATAAACTCCTACTTTAATTCCATTTTTACATGAACCTTTTTTTAAGGTGTTTTTGTTTGTTTGTTTGTTGCCATAGGTCGCTTGTGCTTGCTGGAGAGAGACAGAGAGAAGGAAAGTAAGAAATCACCCCTCAGAGGGATGACCACACTGCAACCTCTTCTCCTTCATTCTCCTCCTGAGGTTTTGGCACGCATGTGTGCACACACACACACACACACACACACACACACATACAGCACAACTTTCACACCACCAGGTCCAGGACTTGAACCATGGTTGGCCAATGCCTCAACCCTATGCCACCTGCTGGTCCCTTTACATGAACCTTTTTAAAAAGTTTATTTCTTCCATAAGCAAGAAAGACAGAGAGAAATAGATACCCATCAACAAGGTCGTGACATCATGATCCACCCCCAGCCTCAGCCAGCCCCAGATCATGGGCACGTGTGTGCATGGTGGACTCGTGGAGGTGTCCAGACACAGACCCCAAACCTTCTCGTGATGGGCAACACTGCATGTTACCACTGCTCTATCAGCTAGTACTCTTCACAAACATGTCAGTCCCCTCAGCTTCTCATGCATATATATTTATTTTTCACTTCAAGTAGGAAGTGAAAACATTTGCTGTTTTGCCTCTTATTTATTTATTTTTTAATTTAAGTTATTTCTTGGAGATCTTTGACATCTTCCAATGTCAGTACATAGAAGCAGACCTCATTTTAAAAATGTTCTATAGTATCAAGTCATAGTGCAGATAAATAATAATTTAATGAGTCCCCTACTGAAAAACACTTAGGATTATCTCCAGTCTTTTGCTATTATAAAGCCATTACAATGACCTTTCCACATCCAGTTTTGTCTGTGGAATTGCCAGGTCATTGTTCAAAAACATGGGCAGAGTTCTGTCTCTCTGCTGTTGTATAAAACTATAAGACCTAGAAGCTCAGAACCATGGAAACCCAATTCAAAAAGCAATAGCCTCTGTTCTTGAGCACCAAGGCTGCGTACTCAGCATTGCTTTAGGTGCCTTGATCTCTGAGAGGCACAGTTATTCTCTGGAGTTGCTATTATCTTTATTTAACAGAAAAGGAAATTGAGGCTCAGAGTGGGAGATGCAATCTGTTTTCAATGTGATGAATACTAACTATTGCACTTACATTTTGATTAAACTCTGCTCTGAGAATCTGCAGACTGGCTCATTTGCTTAGCTCAAGGTATTGTGGAGATGTGGCCCACTGGAACCATGGCTGGTGCAAAGAGGAAAGTGAGGGAGCGCTACTTTGTCCCGTGGCTACAGGTTATTGTCTTAACTCTGCGAAGCCAAGGTAAAATACACTGTGTGAGTGGCCAGGGGAAAGGGACCAAACCTTTGCTAGCCCTAGGCACCAACCTGGACACTTTATGTATATTGTATCAATAAAGCTCAACGAAAATCTGCAGCATGGCAACATTCCCACTTTACAGACGAGGAAATCAAGGTCCAGAGGCTATGGTAATTTTATTCAAAGTTACCTGGGCAAGAAAATTCAAGCTTTGAATTGAAGTCTAACTGAAAAAAAAATAATTAAAAAAATATGTATATATACACACACTTTCTACTTAAAAGTACTTTCCACTTTTCTATGCTTTAGGAGGAAATAAATAAGAGGAAAATAAATAAATGTGTCATTTTAAATCATTCTATTTCTTTTGTAAAACATCCCACAAAAGCAAACCCGAGTGCATACTCTACAGAAAGAAAGAAATCAAACCAAAAAAATGCCCCAAAGATCATACAATATGAATTCATCAAGGAATAGGTCATAACAAAAAAGTATTTCAAGCAAGTAGCTGGAAATATGGGGCCAGCAGGTAGTTTGGAGGTTAAGGTGCTAGATCCCATACAGCCAGCTTTGTGGTTGAGTCCCAGACCCGGTGGCTTGAGAATCATGCCAAGCACAGGTGCGTGCCTGCCCCAAATCCCAAGAGTGGAGAAGGGATTGTGGTGTGGCCATACCCCTGGGTGATTTCTCACTTTCCACTGATTCTTGTCTCTCTCTGGTGAGCACACGTACCCTATAGCCTAAATAAACAAACAAATGGAGTTTTCAAACTACTCTGTTTTTCCATAATCCAAAACCATTTATTTCCTGGTTTTAATAGAAGCACTTCTTTTATTCCTTACCATTTTGCTTTGGACTTCCCTTGGACTAGTCAATATTCCTTTTGTTCGTTATTTTATTCCACACTAGAAAACAGTAAGAATTTAGCTTTTTCCTTGTCTCTAACCATCTCATGACAAACCTGGGCAGTACTGGCCATGTTTGTACACCTAGGTCCCATCCTTTGGCCTCAGTTCACCGGACCAGAGACAGACGCCTGACACAACCTGGGCCAGTCAGAGCCTCAGTTCACAGAACCTGGACTTAGGTCTGAGAGGATGAAACTTGGTTGCTGTTGGGCAGCCATTGCCTGCTATGTGTGGAGAAAAGAAAAGCCATCCACAGACAGAATGGAGGAGATGAGGGGCTAAAAGGAGACGGGAGAAATCGTACGGAGAGGATAAGCCCAAGAGAACTGCTGTCAGGGTTCCTAAGGCCTTTCCAGTCTGTTCTAGTCCCTTCCTTTGGACTGAGTGAGTTCCGGTTCTTGAGTTCTGTGAAACTACATTGTATTACTCCAACAAATCCATCTTTTCTCTTAAGCTGACTTGAACTGGATTATTCTTCTTGCAGTTAAAAGCATCTTCATAACTTACCGCTGGTTTCTCTACCTGAGCCAAAGCAAAAGGTTTCCAAAGGACAGGTTCCCTGAATGATCATTAGTACGGTAACACCGTCTCAGTCACGAATGCTCCCACCAATGACAGTACAGCCACTCTGTGAGGCTGACACCTGGGGAGAGGAGTGAGCAAACACTTCACTGCATGGGAGGAGGAAGACCACACAGGGTGCAGTGGAGAAGGGCCAAGCAGAGGACCTGGGGAGAAAGAACACTACCTCTGCACACCCACACAGACACAAACATTCATCATTCACTGGGCCCTTTCCTCTGTGAGAGGATGGTTCTGTTGGGAGGTCAGGGGGCTGATACAATGGTCACTAGCAACAGAAAGGCTGCCCTTGTCACCCATTTCATTTGGAGGTTGCGAAGTGGTGGATGTAGTTTGTTCATGAAAACCAACGCTCATGAATGAGTATTAGTTGAAAATAGGAGATGCCACACAATACAAGTTGAGGTTGTGAGGTTTTTTTGTTTGTTTGTTTTTGTTTTTAATGTTTTTTATAGTTTGCTATAGGGCATGTGTGCTCCTGGAGATAGAAAGAGGGAAAGTGAGAAAGAACCCTCCATGTACAATCCCTTCTCCATTCTTCCTCTTGGGAACTTAGGCATGCACACACATGGTGTGTTTTTCAAAACTCCACGTCCTAGACTTGAACCGCACAGTCAGCCACATGGGATCCAGCTGCCTTCACCACCACACCACTGGCAGGCCCCAAATTGAGACCTTTTTTTGGTGAATGGTAAGGTCTGGATTTCCTCCATGGAAACATTTGGCTAGGGGGA